TTTTTTTTTTTTTTTTTTTTTTTTTTTTTTTTTTTTGCAGTGCCAGGGATCAAACTCAGGACCTTGCACTTGCAAGGCAGGTGCAGTGCCAGTAAGCCAAATCCCCAGTCCAGTTGTCTACCTTTTCTGAGTCTCAGTTTCTTCATCTGCAGAATGGAGGTGATAATAATATTCTAGGGGAGGAAAAAAATGGCTTCCTTATTACTAGGTTGTTTGGGCTACCAATTAAACAGATTAACAGGAGAAACCCATTTTAATTACTTAAATATGCATTCAAATGTCCTATGGATGTGACTCAAAGGAAGGCCAAGATGATTTTCATACAGAAGTGAGCAACAGGAAGAGGATTTGGGGAGGTGCTGGCATAGTGGGAGGGTAAGGGGAGAAAATATGTTGGACTAAATGAGGTATTATACAGATAAAATTCTCTCAGATCACCTGGGCGTGATGGCACACACCTATAATCCTAGCACTCGGGAGGCTGAGGCAGGAGGATCGCTGTGAGTTTGAGACCAGCCTGGGCTACATAGTGAGTTCCAGGTCAGTCTCAACTACATATTGAGGCCCTGTCTCAAAAATCAATAACAAAAAAAAAGTCTCTCAGATCATAAAACTGGTCACAAAGTAGCTCTCTTCTTGGTACAAATAACTTAGCTAAGGAAAGTTTCCCTCGTATAAAACGATGGATAGGGCAGCTTTTCAGAACTGTTCCTGGGTCTACAGTTTCTCAAAATAACCAGCTCAAAATAAGCAATATGCCAAAGAGGAGGTAGCATTTGTCTCTTGCAAATGTTTTTAAGTGTGTCCTAGACTCCATCAATACCCTTCTCAAAGCTTGGTTGTGAAGACGTTGAGACAATCTGTGGAAGCAGTTAGCACAATAGAATCACTGCCTGTACTTTTTCATACATTTTTTATTTAAAGTAGGCTAGTGATTTTTAGCTCAGTGGTAGTGAGTTTGTTTAGCAAGCATGAGGTCCTGGGTTTGATCCCCAACACTGAAATAAATAGTCTGAGTAGAGACTATTGGTAGAAAGACTAATGGTAGAGAGAGTGCCTACATGAGGTCCTAAATTCAATCTCCAGCACCAGAAATTTTACAATAAAATGCTAGTAGGTATTATGTGATACTCAGCAGATGATAGTTTTGTCTTGCCAAGGAAGCTGCAGAGCAGTGTTTGAAGGCTAATTCGGAAGTCTTGAGCTTTTTGAGGCTATGAGAGCTTTGTAAGTTTCCTCATCTGCTATGTAAGAGAAAACGATAGCCTCCTTTTCAAGAATTTGAAGAACTGTTACAGACTTCATGCTTCTTAACTACTTTTAATGCTTACCATAAAATCTTTCATACAGTTGCCTCCCTACTCTGTAGTTATTTTTAATTCATGTTCTCTGTTGGTTGCAGTAAATTATTCAGCAAATTTTTCAGAGAAGATTCTTAGTTGGTAAACTTTTTTTTTGGTTTTTGAAACAGGGTTTCACTGTGTAGTTGAGATTGACCTGGAACTCGCTATGTAGCCCAGGCTGGTCTCTTAACTCACAGCAATCCTCCTGCCTCAGCTTCCTGAGTGCTGGAATTACAGGCATGCGCCACCAGGCCTGGCTCCATTTGTGTTTTGTTTCTTGTTGGGCCATATAGTTCAGGCTGGCCTTGAACTCACAGTGATCCTCCTGCCTCAGCCTCCCAAGTGCTGGGATTACAGGTGTATACCACCACGCCTGACTGATAAAACTTTATTAACCCCTGGATATCTGAGAATGTCTTCCAGTTGCCTTTGTATAAAATAATAACTTGGCAGCCTATATAATTCTTGGTTCAAAATTATTTTCTCTTAAAACTGTAGATACTATTCCATTGTCTTCTAGCATTTAGAACTGCAAGATAAAAATCTAAGTTAATCTTGAATTTTACCCCTTATAGGTAACCTGCTTTATCTGCCTGGATACATGTGAAACTTTTTCTTTGTGATTGAAATATTTAAAAAGTCTTCATGAAATTCAAATGTAAGTTCAGTGGTAGGTAGCTTGATGTGGATAGTAGTTTTGCTGCCGTAGGTACATACATTTTTTTAAACACATACTTAAAATCTGCATTATTTGTGCTTAAAGTTAAGTAATCCTTCAATTAAAAACAATACATGCTGTAATCCCAGCACTCGGGAGGCTTAGGCAGGAGGATCATTGTGAGTTCAAGACCAGCCTGGGTTACATAGTGAGTTCTAAGTCAATCTCAACTACATAATGAGACCCTGTCAAAAAACCAAAAAAAAGAAAAACATGTAGCAGAAACAAACTGGTGAGTATAAAGGCCTCAAGTGCAGTAAAAGGCTCAAGAGATACTCATTCCCTTCCCTTCTCAACTAAAATAGGGGCCAGGGATTTAGCTCAGTTGTTCCACTGCCTGCCTTGCAAGCGCAAGGACTGGAGTTCAATCCCCAGTACCAAAAAAAAAAATTTAAATCAACTAAAAGAAAAAAAAACTTTTTCTTTTTTTTTTTCTTTTTGCACTATGGGGATGGAATCCAGGGTCTTACACATGCTAGGCAAGTGCACTTCCATTGAGCTATACCTTCAGCCCCCAAAATTAATTTCTTTACTCACACCCGCACCTGATGTGTAGAGCGTTCCCCCCACATCTACTCATTCTCTGAAGATACCCTTTTGGAGTTAGTGTGGAACCCACCAGTCGGGCTCAGTTCCATAAGACAACACCAGTTGCAAGTCTAGGACGTCACCTGTCCTTCTGACCAGCTGGCTGTAAATCGGAGGTTCCTGGTAGTCCTTCCTTAAGCTCCATGATCGATAGGAACAGCCCTACAGAACTCAGGGAGACAGTTTACTTATTAGATTACTGATTAATTATGATACAGCTGAGGAACAGCCAGATGGAAGAGCTGCACGAGGCAAGGCTGGAAGAAAGGGCCGCACTGCCTTCATGCCTCTGAACGCAATACCCCAGTACCTTCCTGTGTTTACCAGTTCGGAAGTTCTCCAAAGCTGCTCTTTTGGGGTTTTTGTGGGGACTTCATTATATAGATGCCATTTATTCAATGAGTTGGTTACTAGTGATTAAATCACTCTGCAGTCCTTTTCCCTCCCTGGAGGTAAGAGTGAAAGTTCCAACCGTCTAAGCCCCTTTGGCAACCAGACCCTAGCTTTAAGAGCTTTCCAAAAGTCATCTCTTAACAAACTTCGCTGTGACAGGATTTGTTATAAATAAAAGATGCTCCTTTCAGCTTTATTTCTGGAACTGGGGACAAAAACCAATTATTAGGGCAGGGGATATATATCAGCAGCACAGCACCTGCCTGGCAAATTCAAGGCCATGTTTGATTCCTGGTACAAAACAAAAAATAATAATCAAAAGAAGTTTCTATGGGTTTTAGGAAAATATAAGGGCCAAGGATTTAGTTCAGTGGTGCTGTGCCTGCCTTGCAAGTGCAAAGTCCTGAGTTCAATCCCAGGTATGGGGAAAAAAAAAAAAAAAGAATTTTAGCAACCCTGGCTGAAAGCTGGAAACGGAGACCAGAATATATGTGGTATTATATCACAGCAGCACATAGCCCTCCTTGAAGTGCCACCAGCACACACTGGTGTACAGTGAATGTGTACACGAGTGTATCAATTTAGCAAGACTCTGTTTTAAAATGCAAAAATAAGCCAGGCGTGGTGGCACACACCTATAATTCCAGCGCTTGGGAGGCTCAGGCAGAAGGATCACTGTGAGTTAGACACTAGCCTGAGCTACACAGAAAGTTCCAGAGCAGTCTGAACTACATATTGAGACCCTGTCTCTCAAAACCAAAAAATAAATAAAGCAAAAATAAAAAGGTCTGGAGGGCCGGGGATTTAGCTCAGTGGTTCTGGTACCTGCCTCACAAGCACAAGGGCCCGAGTTTGATCCCTGGTACCAAAAAAAAAAAGGTCTGGAGATGTATTTCAAGCACGAAGGCCCTGGATTTATTCCCTAGTATGGAGGGTGGGGGACCAAGGTCCCTCTGACCATTGTCTTTCTCTTACCCTTCTCCCCATTTTTTTTCCACTGAAGCGCAGGGAGGGGCTTTCTGAAAAGTGTTCATCTGACTAAAAGCAGAAGGAATTGTGAGCCCCTACACAGAAATCTCAGCAGCCAGGGAAGATTGACTGAATCACTGAAGAGAGTAAAGGATACCACACTCAGACATTATCACGAGGCCTTGGAGGACTTGAGTTCTATGACTCAGTAGTTGTGAGGCGAGTACCACAGAGAGCACACTGGACTCGGGACAGCAAGGCTGCCTTCTAGCCAACTAGCCTCTACTCACTGACTCTGCTTCTCTCCCCAGACACATGACTGCTGCTTTTGCAGGTGCACAAATAAGTTTGGGCAGGATCTCCAGGAAGGCCTGTGGCTATTGACTGTCTGGTCCATGCCCTCAGCCCTTCAGCACTACTCTGTGAGACGACAGGAGTCTGCAGCCTACAGATCTGTCAGAAAAGGCAGCCCAACCTCTCTCATCCCTGAGCCCACTCCTGTGGAGCCAAGTCGCTTCACAGAGTCTCGGCCTGAAATCCAGTATGGTGTTTATTTGGGGGTTTTGTTTGGGGTTGGTTTTTGTTTTGTTTTGTTGGGTTTTTTTTTGTTTTGTTTTGTTTTTTTGGTACTGGGGATCAAACTCAGGACCTTGTGCTTGGGAGGCAGGTAGTAAAACCACTGAGCTTAATCCCTGGTCCTTTTGGTTTGGGGCTTGCGGGGGTAAGGGGGCAGTATTTGATTTTTCTTTGCAAGCAGAGAGTCTGAAAACTAGAAAATAGAAGTTATCCATAAATATTTAAGGTGGAAACTAGAGATCTAGGAGAAGGGCAACAGGAAAAAGAAGGTTCTGGAATGAGTCAGGATTGACACACCCCTTATTCCAGCTTCTGCCTGATTCAGCCCAACATGCTCCACAGATGCTGCTTCCGAAGGGCACCCCAGCAGCCACGCCTTACACGCCACCTTGCTCTCTCTGTTGGACACCCCACACACACTGTCTCACAGCCCATCTGTTCCAGGCATCTGCTGACAATTTTGTAACTTCATCATGGGTTTATCTTCAGACTCCAGATGGTAATGGCTTTTTGCAATATTAAAGTGCCCCATTAGACTGGGAAGGAATACAAGCCCCACCCACCACAGACCGTTGGGCAAAACAGCAGAGAATCTCCCACACCCCACATGCCCCCCTTCTGTGGAGAAAGGGAGCTGCAGTGCAGTCATCCTCTTCAGAAAGCAGACACATGGTAAGTGCTGGCCACCCCTGCTGGCTGACTTTGGGGAAGTCCTCCCCCAAGGACTTCTGTTTCCCTATCTGGACAGTACATATACCTAGCAAGATGTTTCTGTGAGCCAGAATTCATTTCTAGCTTACTGCCCTGACTCTTGGTATATCTGTCCTTTTTTTTTTTTTTTTTTTTTTTTTTTTTTTTTGGTAACAGGGATCGAACTCAGGACATTGGGCCTGTGAGGCAGGAGGCGGAACCACTGAGCTAAATCCCCAGCCCTGGTACATCTGTCTTGTCACAGCCTTCACTGTCTCTTGAACCCTGCAGTGTTACCCTGGGCTCTTTTGGAGGGCAGCTCCAGGCTAATTTTTCTTAGGGCTTTCACCTCAACTGTCAGGGTAAGACTGCTGAATCCATTCTGCCAATTGGCTATGGGAAAGGTATCAGGTTGGAAACTGAAGGGGTATAGCTCCTGCTTTCTAGGGCCTTAAATAGAAGTTGAAATCTAAGACTTCAGATTTAAGGGGATTCACCAGCCCTAGATGCTAACTGTGAGATGGGGAGGGGGGCTTTGTTAAAGAGAGGGTAGAGACCACTCAGGAGCAGTGCTCTGGTCAGAGGGCTACACTTGCACTAACCCTGCAATCAGTTTCAGAAAACGCTGGGAAAATCGACTGTGATAGGAAAGAACGGGCTACCCACCAGAAGCCACAAGCATCTTCATACCAAGGCAGGTTGGCACAGGGAGTCCAAAAAGGATAGTCATTTGGATGCCAGAAGGCCAAGTTGTGCGTATACTAGATAGACGGAAATAACACCAATCATAGCTATTCATTGCAAATTCTTTGCAAGAAGAAAATAACTAAATTCAGGGCTGGGGATGTAGCTCAGTGGTAGAACATTTGCCTAGCATGTGTGAAGCCCTGGGTTAGATCCTCAGAACTATAAAAAAAACTTTTTTTTTTTTCAGAAATAGCATTGGTATGATAAGATTGCAGGTTCTGTAGTCATAAATCTCAAAGCTTTTGTTATGTGGGCTGTACCAGTCTATGGCTAGTAAGCCTTTACACATCTTTCATTCATAAAAAGGGATGTGAGTTTGAATACTGCCAAGTCACTTCACCTCTCTGAGTGATAAGAATGAATCTTAGCACGGTTTCCTCATCTGCACTGCAGGGGTGGATGATGGTATTGTTTATATCAAAGATGCTATGACTATTGTGTCAGCAGGGATATGTATAACCATGCACGGTAGTTTTCAGCCCATTTGCTTTCCTCGTCTAGACCAGTAGTAACTCTATGCTCACTGAATATTTAGAATCACCAGGGGAGCTTTTTAAAAATACCAGTGCTGGAGCCATGTTCCAGACCCATTAAAATAGATTCTAGGGGAGTAAAACAGTCTTTTTTCTCTTTTTCTTTTTCTTTCCCTTTCCTCCCTGTCACCCTATCCCCAGTACTGGGAATTGGATCCAGAGTAATCTACCATTGAACTGTATCCCCAGCCCTTTTTTAAAATTAAATTAATTTTTATTATTATTATTTTTTTTGTACCAGGGATCGAACTCAGGACCCTGTGCCTGCGAGGCAGGTGGCAGAACAACTCAGCTAAATCTTCAGCCCTTTTACTTTTGAGAAAGGATCTCGCTAAATTACATAGGCTGGACTTGTAACTTGTGATGATCCTGCCTCAGCCTCCTCCATGTTGGGGTTACAGGCATACATGACCATGCCCAACTAACTTACATTCTTTCTTTCTTTCTTTCTGTCTTAATGAATCTAATGTTCTGAACCCAGTGTGGCAGTTAGCCATTCATTATCATTCAGTACTATTCACCAGGTACTAATCATTGCAACCCCAGGGAATATAGGTCTGACCTACAATTAGGAGCTAAGAACTGTGACTACCCAAATTCGGGTATGTAATAGTCATTTCTTATTTCCTCCCTCTTTAGGACTATTGCCCAGCTCCCCAGTTTTCTGCCATGTCTGACCCCATTACACTGAATGTTGGGGGGAAGCTCTACACAACCTCACTGGCAACCCTGACCAGCTTCCCTGACTCCATGCTGGGTGCCATGTTCAGTGGGAAGATGCCCACCAAGAGGGACAGCCAGGGAAACTGCTTCATTGATCGTGATGGCAAAGTGTTCCGCTACATCCTCAACTTCCTGCGGACCTCTCACCTGGACCTCCCTGAGGACTTCCAGGAGATGGGCCTGCTCCGCAGGGAGGCTGACTTCTACCAGGTGCAGCCCCTGATCGAGGCACTGCAGGAGAAGGAGGTGGAACTCTCTAAGGCAGAGAAGAATGCCATGCTCAACATCACGCTGAAGCAGCGTGTGCAGACGGTCCATTTCACTGTGCGTGAGGCACCACAGATCTACAGCCTGTCATCCTCCAGCATGGAGGTCTTCAATGCCAACATCTTCAGCACATCTTGCCTCTTCCTCAAACTCCTTGGTTCCAAGCTCTTTTACTGCTCCAATGGCAATCTCTCCTCCATCACCAGCCACTTACAGGACCCCAACCACCTGACTCTGGACTGGGTGGCCAATGTGGAGGGCCTGCCAGAGGAAGAGTACACCAAGCAGAACCTCAAGAGGCTCTGGGTGGTGCCTGCCAACAAACAGATCAACAGCTTCCAGGTCTTTGTGGAGGAGGTGCTGAAAATTGCTCTGAGTGATGGCTTCTGCATTGATTCTTCTCACCCGCATGCTCTGGATTTTATGAACAATAAGATTATTCGATTAATACGATACAGGTAAAAAAAAGAAAAAAAAAAAAAAAAGAGCAACATTGGAGAGTTCCCAAGAAGCTGCATGTCACCCAAGGCTTGGAGAGTCTCACCAGTGATGTGAAGCAGGGCACTCTACTAACCGGTATTAACTGCATAGCAGGACTTGATTCCCCTTTGATGAAGTCTATCTTTTGGAATCCACACATCCTCCGAACAGAACTTTTCATTTCCACTTTGAACTAGAGATGGGCAATTTATTATGACAAACGAAGATGTAGCTGATGTGTACAAGAGGAGTCCACAAGAGGGCTTTCTAACTGGGACAAGGAAGCAGCAGTTTTCTTGCAGGCTTCATCTGTGTATCACTAGCCAGTGCCTCATTTACCCATCTGAAAAAAGAGCCCCTCACAGCAAAGGAAATGCTGTGTTCCCCAGGACATAAAATGCCCAGCAGATCCCTTCACACTTGCTCTTCCCTCTCTGGGATGTTACCAGGACCTTGGACTTATTTGCCCAGGGTTGACTGTATTTACCTGGCTTAGAGTGCAGTGTATTCCCAGAGCTCTTTAGTGGCCCCCTTTCAGGGAAAGAGTGAGCCTAGAAGAGAGAGCATCCAGGCAGGGTTTAGATAGGGATTTCTCTCTTGATAGGGCCAAATCTAGGGATTTCTGGCTTTAAAATGGGCTGCTGTCCCGCAAAGGTGTGAAAGTACCTGGAGCCAGTGTGATGAAAGGTACTTCATTACCTAGCCTGTTACTTGATTTTTGCAATCCTTTTCCTGAAAATCTGAGGTATTACTGAAACAGTTACTTTTAAACAAAAATATTATAGACTCTCAGGGTTGGAAAATAATCCAGTGGTTGCTTAGCTATCCCAGCCCCCAGGAGACCCCAGCACATTTAGAGATGAGTACCTCTGCTTGAGTACCTCCAGGGGATCTATGCCTATTTGCATACCTCTGGTGACAAGCAGCTCACTGTCCCCACTGCCATGGTTGGATGGTGCTGACTTAGAAAGTTCTTCCTGTATGAAGCAAAACTTTGTCCTGCCATTTCTATATGCTAGAACTTGGTTTCATACCATCCTTCTCATCCAAATATGTATCTTTGCTTTCACAATAGTCACTTTGAGAGATCAGGCACTTACTCTGAAAATATTATGACTCAGAATTTGGATTCCCCTTTGGGATCTGTATTTGGAACCAAAGTTAGGTCCTTTCCATACCCCGTAAGTCCGCTTTGGTTATGGTGTCGCTTTATTTGTGACCCCACCTCCACTTCATCTACGTTCCACACCAGCCGTGGTTCAGGATGCCTTTTGACCATTCTCGGTTGGGAGATGAAGATTCACTGCCTGAGGAGATCCAGAAGAAAGAGAGGGTCATGGGAAGCATTTTGCAGCTAGGAGCTAGGAGCCCATGCGTGGTGCCTGAACCATCATGCTGCCCTTGGAATAAGTGTCCAGCCCCTAAGATACTTCTCTAAAGAAGGTGGCCTTCTGTTGTGGTGTTGTCTCTCCTGACTAGTCTGTGGGACTCCTTGGGGTGTGACGCAGAACAAAGAGTCCAAGCCACCACTTCCCAGCAGGTGATGAGCCTTGCAGGCCTCCAAACTGCATATTATGATTCATCTCTGGAGTGAATATGGCTTCCCCAGTGGAGAGAGGACCTCGGACAGACCAGGGAAGCCTGATGACACAGGCATCCACAGAAGGTAGACCAAAGAGGGAGCTTCCCACAGTGACAGCCTGTGAGCAGGGAACCTATATGCTGTTCCATGGGCAAGGCCAGGTCCTTCAAGCAATAAAGGCCTTTTCCTCTCTACAGTAGGACCCAGGAATCTCTCTGACAGCTGTCCCAGGCCACCAGGTCGATGGTATTCTGGAAATCCCCTCAAAGAAAATCCATTTGAGAGTAGGAAGCAGAAGGTGTGACCACAGCAAAAGAGTAAGAGGAAAAAAAATCTCATCAATCACTGTCCTTTTTTATCTCCATGAAACTTCCCTTTCTCCCTCTTTTTGGTGCTTCCTAATTCAAGCAGCTTGTCTTAGAGAAAGTATAGAACCTGTGAAGCTATGAATTAATATGCTGTGTGACTTTATGCAAGTCACTCACCTCACTGAGCCACTTCTGTTTCTTCATCTGTGAAATGGGCATAACAGTAATACATAACCCTACCTACCTCACAGGGCTGTTGTGAGGATCAAACGAAATAATGTATGTGGAATAAATGATAAACAATTATTACTTGTGTTAATAGTTTGTGCAATTCTTTTTTTTTTTTTTTTTTTTTTTTTTTTTTTTTTGAGACAGGGTCTCATTATGGAGTTGAGATTGACCAGGAACTCACTATGTAGCCCAGTCTGGTCTTGAACTCATAGCAATCCTCCTGCCTGAGCCTCCTGAGTGCTGAGATTACAGGCGTGCACCACCACGCCTAGCATTTTTTTTTTTTTTTTTTTTTTTTAAACGGGGATAAGACTTGGGACCTTGTACTTGTGAGGGAGCCCCTGGGAATTCCAAGCCCTATTTCATTTTCTGAGACAGGGTCTCGTTGTTTAACCCTGGCTGGCCCTGAACTCATGATCTTTCTGCTTCATCTCCGAGTGCTGGGATTTCAGGCATGTACCATCACACCTGGCTAAAACCCCAGACTTGAATCAGACTGACTCAGGTTTGAGTTTTGGCTCCATTGTATACTATGTAACCTTGGCCAAGTAGCTCATTGGATAACAGCCCCTACCTCCCAGGGCTGTGCACCTTAAATGAGTTGGTACACATGGAAATTCCAAGCTGGGCCTGACACAGAGTTCAGTAACTGGCTCTTGAAAGAGGTGGTTATGGGAACAAGGAGTCCAAGAGGTCTCCTTGTTTAATGAGTCCTTACAGGATGCTTGGTGTGTGGGTCCAGAAGGTGGATACCTTCCTGGAAGAAGTGGAGAGCTTCACACAGATGCTGTGGTAACTTAGGGAAAAAGGGCAGTTTTCTCAGAAAGGGCTTTATGGTCAGTCCAGCAGGGCCCTTGAGGGCATGTTGGATGCTGACAGGAAGAGCAAGGAGAGCACTATGATCTCAGCAAACAGAAAAGAAACATGGTGGCCAGGCAAAGCAATTGAGGATGAATGCATTCTCACACAGCCACTGCACAGGGGCACGGCAGGCACAGGTGGTGTGTTCAGGGCACTCTCATTGTGCCCACATCTCACTTAGGTGAGCTCAGCCATCTACTCAGCAAAAGTGTGAGAAAGCGGAATCAAAGTATTCAGGTGGTGCCATCCCAGTGAGTAAGGGAGTCCGAGTGAGTGTGGAGAGCAGCAAAGGTGTGCTGCTCGTGAGCTGCCAGCTCTGGGTGAGACCAAATCATTACTGCACCCATACTGAACTTTATACCACTGAGGGCTTTCTCCCAGTGGAAGCCATCTGAAGGAGCAATTCCAGGCACATAGCAGCTTGTTAGCCCTCTGTCCTGCCCCAGGCGTAGTCCCACGCAGGCAGAAGAATGGTCAGCGTACCAGAGGGAACTCCCAAGACACCTTGGTATAACCACCTCTTGAGGCCTGCCCCGGACAGGGTCCCTGCATGCTTGAAGGCATGGCACCATGCTGTGATCTCACATCCTCAGGACCACCAAAGGCCCTTTGCTCTTTTATAAAATGCCAAGCCTCATGACCCTTTTCTACTTGGGGCCAGAGCTCTCTGGGCAGGAGTGGACATGGTCCCCCTTGCCTATACCTCAGTACTCAATACAGCCCAGCAATCCATGATGCAGCCACCTGGTGTTGTAAACAACTATGTGGCCTAAATTATAGCATTTGTGTAACTGCCCATTTGTTCGCCCCAATCCTAGCTTCCTTTTACAAATTACTCCTAAAATAATCTGTTGCAAATGAGTGCTTAGCCAAGGTCAGCTTGTGGGCTGAGCACCAGCCCATCCCTTTCCTGGGTTGCAGTCTCTTTACACTGACCAGCTGTGTCTATCTGGATCCCAGGGGGCTTAGGGCTGATAGGGGTGGTTGGCAGGGAAACGAGGCCCTGTGATCATCTCCCAGAATAAAACAACCTGATAATAGGCCCATCAGAGGGAGGGCTGGGCTCATTTACAGGCCTTCAGAGTCCTGGCTTTGGCTGCTCCATCTTCTCAGACAGTCTAGTGCCCTCAGTCCTCTACAGAACCTTAGGGCCAGTGTGGCACTAGTAGAGCTGCAGAGACAATCTGGTGACACATTTACCCACTCTGGGATATAGGGACCAAAAAGGCCCCTGAAGAGAAGTCTGCCTGATCTCAGAGGATCACGGAGCACCCATAGGACCCAGGACCTCACAAAAGATGGCAGAACAAGTTTCAAGTTGGAGTTGCCTTTCTCACTCTTCTGGGCAGTGCCAAGAGCACCCGACCTTGCTGGGCCTCTACTTTATACACAAAGTACAGGGCATTCCAAAGCCTTTGTCAGCGTTTTCCAGTTAGGTGGCAACCCTAGATTTTTCCAGCCCATTCCTCTCCTTATGCCGGGTCTGCCCCAAAGCCTAGGTTCCCTTTTACTGGGAGTTGGGTAAAGGTCAGCTGAGCCACATTTGAAATCCTTTAGGAATCAGGCCAGCTAAAAAACAAAGGGTACTCTCTGCCCAACCCCAATTAGTTCACTTTATAAATCTTGCATTGGATTTGCTTAATAAACACCCTTTGGGAACTTGTAGGTCACCAAACACCTTCACATCTATGGTTTCCTGTCACAGAAACGTAGCTACACCATGCCATTACACACGACTGCCTGGGCTGCCCTTTACTACCTCATCTCCACAGCAAACATCTGCTCATCCAGCAACACTCTGCATAAGCCTTGCCTTCATGGCTCCACCAAGCAGGATCAGTCCCAGCCCCTCTGCCCTGCCCTACACCCGAGGAAGTCACTTTATCACCCGACTGATGTTGTTCACGGGCAGTGTGCTACTGGTAAATATTCAACAACAAGCTCTCTGGGGGGAAGCCCTGATTTGCAGTAGGGACCAGTGTTCGTGATGTAAGCCTGCTCTCTGTGGTTTGCTTCAAGCCACCAATGTGATGTCACTGATAAGCTGAGCAGAGAGGGACACAACAGTGTGAGATAAGTGAGCCTCTCCAGCAAACCAGGAACTCTGCCTTGCTCTTTGTATCCCCAGTGCCTCACACACAGAAGGTGCTCAGTGTCTGAGGGAACTCTGCCCCAGACATGCAAGACACTTCTGGCCCCACAATATCCTCTCTTGCTCAAAAGTATTGCTTAAACTTTTTTCTGTAGCCCACGAAAAAAAAATATCCCAAATTCCTAGCTCTTGACAAACAGGCATTACCCTATAAACTGGATTAAACAGAGCACAGATTCTGGACTCAGATGGCTGTGGGATCAAATTCCAGCTTTGCTGCTTAATGGCTCGGCAAACTTCATCAAGTTACTTAACCTTTCTGTCATGTGTAAAGAACAGAACAGATAACAGCCTGGTGTGGTGGTGCAGACGTGTGATCCCAGCACTCAGGAGGATCACTGCGAGTTCAAGGCCAGCCTGCGCTACAAAGTGAGTTCAGGGCCAGCCTGGACTACAAAGGGAGATCCTGTCTCAAAAAACAAACCAACAAACCAAAAAACAAACAGATGGCAAAACACACTGCATAGAGCTGTTGTAAGGGTTTGATTAGTAATACTCTATAGCTTTTGGACAGTGCCTGGAGAACAATAAGTACTAATATTACTATCTGGGCTGGGGATTTAGCTCAGTGGTGCCACTGCCTGCCTCGCAAGTGCAAGGTCCCAAATTTGATCCCCATACCAAAATAACAATAATAATACTAATACTATCATGAAGATGACTTTACGTCCTTATCTTTCACTGCTGTCCTACTTGCCTACTTCCTCAGTGTCTCCCACATAGTCCATGGAGATTTCTACCTTCTGGCCTTTGCCCAAGCCACTCCCACCACTTGAAGAGTTCTACTCTCTCCTCCCTGGTGACTCAGGTCCTGTCCATCCACAGTGGACACCCTCCCTATCCTTCACATGCCCTTTCACTGAGCCCTTCCTCCTCTCGGAGTTGGCATCTCTTTGGGTGTGAGAAAAACAGATCTTGTTACAGTTCTGTTCATAGACTGAATGTTTGTGTCCTTCTAAAATTCATGTTGAAACCTAACCTTCCATGTGATGGTATTTGAAGGTGGTGCCTTTGGGAGGAGACTGCGTTGAGGGTGGAGCCCTCCTAAATGAGATTAGTGCCCTTATAAAAGAGAGTCCAGAGGGCTCCCTTGCCATTTCCACCAAGGGGGATGCAATGAAAACATGCCCATTTATGAGTCAGGAAACCAACTGCTATAACTTAGGTGCTGAG